CCCCTCCCGCATGCATGCATGCGTGTACGCGCGGGGACCCTTGCGTGATGGTGACGTGCAGCAGGACGCTTCGATGTGGCGCACGTACGCGACGTTGACCAAGATATTCCCGTGCCCTCTCCTGTCCGGCTTACGCAATGTCAGATCGTGACGTAAGCACGACGGGTCGTGACTCGTGGATGTCTAAGCTGATACATGTTCACATTGAGCGCTACACAGTCCGAGTAGGTAAACTGAGATGTTGAGAAGCGTCATTCGCACATGTGGGGCTGTGCGGTGGCACCGATCCGATCCACAACTCGGGATGTTTGCTGTTAACGTCAATGTGGAGTTTCTGCGTGCGTGAGAGTCCACTGCGGATCGGAGCAGTCACGGGCATATAAAGAGGTACTCGCACTAGATGTGCCCTTCACCTTGACGTGCCGCTCTCACAACCCTCCTAAGCGCTCAACCACAAGTTTGGTGTCGTTTGGTGTCTCACCTCGCAAAGCAGGCCCCACCTCGGATTTACAAACACCTTGCCTATTATCTCAATAAGATGACCAAGGCGCCTCAAGATCTCAAAGAGGGCGACGAAGTCTCGTAAGTTCAGCTCCGCGCTTGCCCTTGCCCTTGCCCAGCCCTTCGTCGCTCATCCTAACAACCTTTGAACCGCCTGCTCGCTGCATCCGCGCGTGCGCAATACTGCCTTCGCAGCTGGAAGTGGGGTCAAGGACATCCAAAGGGAGAGGTCAAGGAGGTTGTGGAAGGAGAGGCTACGGCCACTTCCAAGAGGGGCAGCGAAATCAAGAAGAAGGGAGATGAGGACAACCCTGCCGTCGTCATCCACGTGAGTCGGTCTGTCTGATCCGTGATCGGCTTTGCTTCTGTGCTCCAAGTGCGCGCGCGCGCGTGCGCGTGCGGGAGGTAGGTAGGAGGAGGGAGAGAAGTGGAAATGCTGCTTATTGTTACCGAGCGCAAGGCTCGCAATGGACTACCAGCAAAGCGCATCGCAGCTCGTCGCTGACATTGCTCCCTTTGCGCGCTCTCGCAGACCAACTCCGGCTCAGACGGAGTCAAGCTGGCCAGCGAACTGGATGGCGTCAAGCCTTGAGCTGAGCCCTACTCCGTAATCTCTCTCTGCTGCGGAAGCAGCTTTTGAGCATGGCTTGCAATCGAGGAAATCCAGTAGTACTGTACATTGCATCCAAGAGTAATATACATGTGATCACACTTGACCGCACAGAGCAGTCCACGGCTGCAGAGTGCAAGACGACTGATGCGAGCCTGCTTGATAGCAACTACACGTCCAAGTTGAAGAAGAGAAGTAGGCACGCAATAAGTGTCCAAGCTCATACCCTCCCGCCTCACTTTCCCTTCGCAAAAAAGCTCTCCAATTTCCTCCTCTTCGTCTTCTTCTTTCTTTGTTCTTGTGCATCCGAAGCTTGCGCATTCTTTGAATTACTGGAGCGCGCATCTCCGAATTGTTTTGCAAGCTTCGTGGCGTAGTGAAAGTCCGAATGATCCTGAATGCGATTGTTGAAGCTTTGCATGATTTCCCTTTCCATGTC